ACTGAGCCAGGGCAGTATGTTACTTCTGCCTCTGATACCAAATTTTCTATTAAAGAGCTCATGCCCATGAACCCAACTACTTCTTTAACTGATGTATGTCTGTATGTTGCTCTCAGTTGTCTGATTGAGGACTATGGTGTAGTCATGTGCAAGACAAAAGTTTCAGCAGTCTTAGGGAGCCCTAACTTCGTAGATGTATCAAACACTCTCTCTCACACACAAACAAATAAAAACATTAAGGGGCAGGAAGTCCTCAAAAGTATTCAGTGAGGACTGAGCATGTTCAGAGGCCACTAAATGGAATCAGACTGATCAGGGGAGGGTGGAAAGAAACCAAGGGTACAGGAGGGAATGGAATTGAATATCCTGGAAAGTGAAGCATTCTAGGCTCTGATAACTAGACTGGCTGCTGCCACACTGCAAAATTAATACAGTTTGACTTTAACTGTCATGGCTTCATCCTATGGAATCCTGGAATTTGTTGTGACACTAGAGCTCTCTAACAGATAAGGTTAAATATTTCACAAAACTAAAAATCCCAGAATTTCATAGCATTGAGCCATGGTAGTTAGGGCAATGTCAAAATGCATTTATTCTACAGTATTGATGCAGCCACTGCCTGAGGACCTTATTGCTCTGCTCAAATAATCCAGCTTACCTCTTCCGAATTGAAGTCTAATTTGGGAGGCAGCTGGTCTTATTACAAGGATTTTGCCATCAAAGCTACCAGGTGAGTCCAGCCTGGCTGTAGCCCAGGTCCCCAGCACACTTCAGCAGCCTTATTTCAAAACCAGAAATTTTGCGACTTGAAAAAAATGGCCACTGAAGAGCACTGCAGACCAGGCTACAGCCAGGCTGGACTCGCGTAGTCACTTCAGCAGCAAAATCCTTGCAATAGGGCCCTGCTGCCTCCCAAATTAGACTTCAATTCAGAAGAGGTAAACTGGGTTATTTGAGGTTGCAAAAATCTCCTGAGTTGGATGCATAGATTTAATAGTTTTAGCCTTTTCTGTTTTTTAAGCCTGTTCAATATACTTTTATCCTATTTAAATTGTTTTATTGCTTCTGGAATTGTTTTGCATTCTATTGTTGATAGAGGATGGGACTGAAATAATTTATTGAATAAATAAAGAGGTCTGTTTTGCAGACTGTGAAGCTATTGCATGGGGTAGCATGGTTTGCAAACTGTCAAAGATTTGCATGGGACAAGAGCACTGTCTTGCAGACTGGGGAGCTGTTGTATGGAAGAGGAGCTCTGCCTTGCAGCATCAGAAACTGCACTGTGAAAGAAAAGTATGTTTTGCAGCCTGGGGAAAATGTTACACTTGACCTTAATTTTGAATGACCATGCATGGACCACTATGCATGTTTTAACATTTTTATTGCAAACTTTTTAAACGATTTTATCTGTGAGCCCCATTGGGTGCCTTTCTGGGAGAAAGGTGACGTATAAGCAAATAAATAAAAAAATAAAATTTAACTATGCTCTTCATTCCTGGTGGTGAGATGTTCAAACTGGTGAGACTTACATCTAGTCATGCCTACTTTCCTTTACCCTCTCTATATGCCCCTAATAAAATCTGCTTCTGGAATGGATTTGGATTTGGATTCAGGTTGGGGCTAAAAAAAATTCCTGTCCATAGTCCAAATATAGGCTATAGAATATTAGCCATGTATTGTGTCTTGCCAGATGATATACATGCCTAGTTTTGCAGGTCCAGGGAAATAGCCAACATAGGACCAATGCACACGGCCTGTAAAGGGTGGCTTTGGGCTGCCCTGGGAGTGGCAAATTGGGGCTGTGGCAACCACATGCTTCAGCCCCAATCCTCCTTTTTGCCACCCCCAAGAGAGCGGGCAAATGCTGCTCCTTTTAAGGGTGGCAAAAGGCCTCCCTTTCAGCCACTGCCGCAGCTCTTTTGCACATTTTGGTGCAGCATGTCTGCACGCTGGGCCAAGAGGTTCCCTGATGCTGTACACCATGCAGATGGGCACCCAGCATTGGGCCAGAATTGGGGTGGAGTTGAGGCAGATGGTATGTGGTTGCCCTGCCCCAACTCCACCCCCAGGCTGGCCCTTTAGGCTGGTCTGCATCCCCCCATAGGCAGGTTCTCAAGCCCTTAACAGAACATATTACAAGAGGGTAAGACATTCTGCTGAAATGATTCAGTTATATAAAAAGATAGCCAATGTATCCAGGTTTGTGGATTGCTTACCACAGAGCAAGATATCAACCCTAGTAACCCATCAGTTTGCTTTGTTTATAGGGGTTTTTCCCATGTAGGTTTGTTGCATTCCTATTATAGCTACTTAAAAACATTTTTGACATACTACCAAAATTGGAAAGACTGGAATGTTATTAAGTTGCCTTGATATTGGGAGAAAGGTGGGATATAAGAAAATAAATAAATAAATGTTATTTTTTTAAAAAAAACACCTTATAAGAATGCCTCTAGCATATCATCCCATGAATGATGTCCTAACCACCAGTCAGCATGGTGCAGTAGTTTAAGCAAGTTCAAATCTCTGCTCAACCATGGAAACCTAGTGGTTGACCTTGGACAAGTCACACTCTCTCAGCCTCAAGGAAAGCAAAGGCAAACCCTTTCTGGAAAAAAAACTTGCCAAGAAAACCCTGTGATGGGGTCACATTAGGATTACTATAAATCTGATATGATTTGAAGGCAACAGCAACAATCCAGGAATGATATGACAATAGCATTTTTGTGTTCTCCTCACACCCTTTATAACCAGAAAGAACATAACAGAGAACAGGACCTGTATGGCACAAGAGTGATTGGCTATCAAAGAAGCAGCAGATAGTTAGCTGTATAAGTATTTACCTGTTCTTGTCGGCTGATGTTTCTTTAAAATAAGATAGACCACTTCTGGTTTTTATCTAGGAGTATTGTTGATGAGCATAAACTGAGTCTGGCTATTAATTTATAAATAAGATTTTTGTTTCCTCCATTCTTCTTGGGGGTTTATTTCATTTTACCACCACTCATTACCTTTCAGTAGATAGGTGGATAAGAAGTGGACTTTTCCAGAATTCAAATAGCTATTATCTTCTCTCCTAGGTTCAAAAGGAGGGAGGGAGTGACGAACAGTGTCATGGATGAGATTGTTCACTTTCACTCCTCTAAGGTTTTTAGTGTAGCTACACAAGAGTGTAGAGCCAGTGTGGTAGTTTGGGTTGTAGACTGCCAGAAATAGTGCAAATTGAGTCCACTTTTAGGGTTAGGGTTAGTGCTAGAGAATCATGGGAATTGTTGTTGTTTTTCTGAGACATTGAGCCTTCTCTGTCAGAGAGCTCTGGTGCTACAATAAAATACAGTTCCCATGATTCCCTAGCACTAGCCCTAACCCTAAAAGTGGACTCAATTTGCACTATTTTTGGCAGTCTGCAGTCCCCTTAGGACTCCAGGAGAACAGGGTTCAAATCCCCAGTCATTTATGGAAACCTACTGCAGTAACATCGGACAAGTTGTATTCTCTCAGCCTCAAAGGAAGACAATGGACGTTATCACACGTGGGCCAGAAAGCGATAATAAAG